TGCGCCTGGCGTGAGTTTTAAGCCACCGGGTCCGGGACACGAACCACGGTCGACTACGTGGGAGTCCAGCGACATAGCCATTACGCTAACTGCTGGTTCCCAAGCCCACATGTGTTTTAAAAAAAAAAAAACACTGGACTTTTTAAAGAGATGCTATAGAAATAATATACTTTTCACTTTTAGATTTTATTACGTAAATAATAATTGGCCTGACCAAGACAATTTCGACAAAGCTGGTTTTCACAATTCCTGGGATATTTTGTGATATATTTGGCTCTCTAGCCAATTATAATAACAATAACTCAAAGGCATCTCACATATTTAAATTAACTCACACACTGCTGAGGGTATCTTCCTACATCTATACTAAACTCCCATGCTTCCACCTTAAGGGGTGACTTTCTACTAAAATGAACTAATACTCAGACAAACTACTTAGCAGTTTTGAAAGTCTCACAATTGGTAAGAAAAAACAAAAAAAACAGGGGTGGGGACCAGAAACCAAGACCAGGTTTGTCTGATCTCGTTACTGTAGTATTTTATTACTATTTACAGAAGACGGTAATGGAGAGAGGATATACCGACAGCCAGCCCTATCTGCCTGAATCCCCTGCCCTTGCACCTCTCATTCCCTGCAGCCGTGTGGCATGCTTCATCGCCTCGGTGTGCCAGGGAGCTCTGCCTTTCCCGGCCTGTACACACCTTGCTCATCTGTTCCAGCTCTGGTCCGGATTCTCTCCAGTCCTCCATCTTTATTTGTTAAATTGACCGGGATTTTCTGAGTTTGCTTTCTTCATTTGGTTTTCTTCCAGAATTACATTTTGATTACAATTGTACATACTATAAAGTTTTACATTTTTCTAGTGAACTAGACAACCTCGGTCTCTCAGCAAAGTGCACTTTCACTTATTTGTTCATTTAACAAAGATCTAATAAGAACCTGATGAAAAACGTAAGCGCTGTCATGGCCATGGGATAAAGTGGTGACAAGTACAGTCAAGGTCTCACTAAGAAAATAAGTAGAAATGACGCACGCTAAACCGGTAGACAGATACACAAAACGATGTCACATGATAATGAATATGATGGCGAGTGCAAAGTCACACCCTGAAATAGCAGACAGTGATGGGATTTACTGGGCACTGTTGCTCACAGGCTGGTCAGGGAAGGCATCACTGAGGAAGCAGCATCTGGGTAGAAAACTGAAGGTCATTGCGACTGAAAATCAGAGCAGGAGGAAGAGGGGGATAAGAAGAGGTCTGGGATGAACGTCTCGCCAGAACATCACAGCAGAGCCTTACACGCCACAGCAAAATGTACTTCGAGTGGCCGCTCTAGGCTCAGTGAAAACAGGGAATATGACCTGACTCACCTTTTGAAAAGATCTGTGTGGAGGATTTCCATAAGCATGTTGTAGGAGAGAAAAATAATGGTGACTTCATCTAGGAAGGCCAGGGAGAGGTGAGGAGTCTGCTACGGGATGCAGTCAGGGGTAATATCTGACATAAAATGCTGACAAACTGGGTTGGCAGTTGAAGGAAAGACCCATCCTCTATGGCAGAAGACGAAGGACAGGTGGTCTTTCTCGACGGTGCCGCTGGGGTGAGTCAGCCTGCCTGTGTTCAGTCAACTCACTGGGGAACTAAAGATGGAGCAGGAACTTTCTGTCTTAATGATTTTACTCTCCAATTTATCCAATTTTCTTTAATGTGCTTCATTATGAGAAAGAGTAGCATTCTTTATTATTTTTCTTCCTAAAAATTTTCTATAAGTACATGGCGTTCACCAAAGAGACAGAGAAAGAGAAAGAGGCAGAGTGAGAAAGCACCCCCTGGGGAGGTTGACCTTGCAGCAATTCCCTCTCCTCTGCTTTGGTCTAGGGATTTTGAACACACACGCACATGTGCCTGGAAGGTTTTCAAGACTCTGGGTCCACCAGGTGGGATCTAGCATCTATGCCACCTGCTGGCCCTGAGTCACAGTCATTTCTAAATGGAATAGCTAGTTTTTCAAGTCATACACAAAACTATATAGAATTCTGGGATTATTTTTAAATTTTGGGAAACTGTCTTATTTTGCTTATTATATCTCAAACCATTATTTAAGTATATTCCAAATACTGAATCACACAGCATCACAATGAACACATATTTAACAATTTAAAAATATGTGTCTTAATTTTTACAAATTTATAAATTGAGAAAGAAGTGAGATATCATTTTCTACTTTCACTATATCTAATGGATTTTTATCATTTTTATACTATATATCATCTACAATCAGAAATGCTAAAACAGCTTTTAAAAATCTAATTGTAGATCTTCAACATTTATTCCAGGGGATCTTTCCTCCTCTTTATAATCAGAAGGTGTTGATTCCTACCCATGATGGTGTTTTACTCATAATTTTAAGCAGAATCAGAAGGTGTTGATTCCTACCCATGATGGCACTGTACTCATAATTTTAAGCATAATTAGTGTTATCACCTCGTATTACAGCGTGCAGAAGCTTTGCCTCTACTTACGAATGTTACTATATTGTAAATGACTTTTGAGCAGAAGGGAAGTGACATCCCTCTATCCCACGATTATGGACACCACCCAAGACACTGAACAATCACTCAGTAAATCTGTCGGATAAGCGAATGAATGAATGAAGTCGACAATTATTCCAACTGTAACCACCTGGATGAGTCAACACTTTTCTGTGATGTATACAGTTTGATGCACACACACACACACACACACACACACACGCACAGGCACAAAGAGTTTCAAAGAGTCGTACCTCCCAGAGTAGCAGATAGCAAGAAATGTGTCCCATATTTCTTGATAAGGTTTTCTGTGATTTGCTGAAGGGTAGGTCGACGTCCCAAAAGTCTTATGTTGCGGAAGAATTCAGGGGCAAGAGGCAGAGGGGAGCCAAGGAAATTTCTTCTCTCAACTGCAAGGTTATTTACTTTCCAGCGGCCAAACTCCCTGAAAAGCAAATTTATTTTTATTCATAAAGGCATAATCTAGCTGAATATTTTCATTTGAAAAGTTCACCTGGTAGGTTAGCCGAGGTCACTACATGACAACGGTTCTTGCTTGTAATAGTATGCTGTGTGCTCTAGGTAGGAGAAGCATTATTTCTAGTTTATTTAACTGGAGTGAATTATTATAAAACCAAGTCATGTACAGAAAACAAATACACCACTTTAAGCAAACAGCTTCTACTGATATTTTTTGTCCCAAGCAAAGATGTATCCATAAAAAAATGATTTCATTATGCATAAAATGTGAATTCAGACCTACTAAAAAAAATAAGAAGAAAAGAAAGAAAAACTGAACTAATCATTTTCCAAGGGAAATGGGCAAAAAAAGAATGGATTTATTTCTATCGTACTAGTGATTGTTTCTCTCTCTTTCACTGGAAGCAAGAATTTATAAAACCTCAGGAATACGATGGAGTCACAGGAGAACATAAAAATATTTAAAAAGCAACTATTTCCTGTTTTGCTTCTTGCAATAAACATTGTTTACACCATATTCTGAAACCCAAACTCAACTCAAGAACCAAATTCTCAAGATGCAAAATGACTTTAGACATGGATTTAGCCAAATTATAGGTAGATATGGTTATTAAAAAGTGGACATTAAAATACATTTTACCTTTACATGAAGTTAAAATCAGCCTAATAAAGAAAAGAATTATGGTAAACTGGATCGCCTGATATCAAACATTTCATATTTGTTCCTGAGGCATGATCTGATAAAAATCTTAAATATTTTCCATGGGGATAAGCTGTATTAAGCTTAATACTCCCTGTATGATATTAACTCAATTAGTAATTAGCAAATACAGGATTGATGATATTTTTCATACAGATGTGCCCTATTTCTTTATACTTTTGCACCCACAAACATGTTTGCCATGTGGTAAGTGAGGGGCACAGAAATATATCTGTGGAGGAGACCCATACTGTCTATCTCCAAAAGGGGTCCACATTCTAGAGAAAGTTACACAAATAAATAAAACGAAGATGTTAAATTCAACTTTTTAACCATTTAGATCATGTTCAGTACTGAAAGCCACACAGACCACATGCCCTGAGGGTGACAGAACTGTGGACAGCTTGGCCTTATTTCATATTGAGAGGGCCTGAGAGGGCCCCTTGAGAGAGGCGGTAATACATGAAGGGGAAGCAAGGTCCCTAATGTCCGGCCAGCGGCTTGGGGGTAGGCTGATGCTCTGTGCTGCTGAGCCCACTCGGGAAGGTTCTGGGTTCGCGTCTCAAGGTCTCCCTGTGCACATGATCGTAGTGCATACTTGGGATCCGTGCTGGCTAAGGCTGGGAGGGTGTGATGGACGGACTGAAGACCGTGTGGGGGTAACCCTCTCCCTCTTATGGAAGAAGTAAATACATAAACTTAAAAAAAAGCTAAATGCAGGGAAGCAGGGAAAGGGTGGACACAGAATAGTAACAACAGTGAACATGAAAATATTTTGAGAATAAAGAAGCAAGACCCTGGCAGGCCCGAACCACAAACGTTTGCCCATGCAGCACATTTGACAGTCAAACGATTTGACTAGAAACTAATTACAGATCAGATTCGCTAAGGGATCTAAGAAAGACTGGCCTAACCACGAAGTCACTCAGTGCTTCCTTCGTAAGGAAACTCTCGTGTCTGCTCTGCCAGTCAGTCGATGGAAACCGTTTTAAATGGTCAGTGCTCTGTTTGTGGTTCCCCAACTTCAACCGCTGTCAGAATCACCTCAGGTCTGGCGTGGGGACTATAATTTCCACTTTAAAAGATATATATTTATTTATTTAAAATTATTTTTATTGTTATTATTAAAGTTTGCAATAGGGCACATGGGCTCATCAGAGAGGAGAGAGGGAAAATGAGAAAGTGAGTCGCCAAGTCCAGACTTGAACTAGAGCTGGCAGTGTGGGAGTCCGGTATTCTAACCACCATCACACCCCCTGGCCCTGACAATTCCATCTTTTCTTTCTTCTTTTTTTTACAGGTTTGTTGCTGTAGGGCACATGTATTCACTGGAGAGGCCAAAGTGAGAAATCACCCCCAAGGGGCAGAGTCACACTGCAATCCTTTTTCCATTCTCCTCCCGAGATTTTGGGCGCACACACACACACACACACACAGGCGTTTAGCATTGAGTTTCAAGCCACCAGTTCTGAGACTCAAACAGCCGAGGACCATGTGGGAGTCCGTGCCTTAACCACTCCACCACCTGCTGGGCTCGCCAATTTGCACTCTCACAGGCATGCTACTGCTGCCTGTTCAGTGGACCACTTTTTGAAGAAAAGTACTGTGGTATTTTGTCTTTAAAATCTATTTCAGATGTCCTTTCAGTAAACGTAGAGCATTTAGAAACTAAATTTACTATGATGTTTTTTCAGAAGAGAGTAAGTAGGTCTTTGTTAGTTTTCCAAACCAGGGCTGCTATCAATAACATTTGGTTATGTCACACTTTCTATAAAAAATTTGCATGAATTTTGTTGGGAGATATTAAAAAGAAGACTATTTGAAGTAAAATAGTTAAATCAGTATGTGTTAATATATCACAAGGGACATAGTAATACAACACATTCAACAGTTGATTTATTAAACCAAGATATAAACAGTGGTCACTTGTCGGGACCAGCAGTTAGCGTAGTGCCTATGTCGCTGGACTCCCATGTAGTCGACCGCAGTTCGAGTCCTGGATCCGGTGGCTTAACTTCACGCCGGGCTCGTGCGCATGCGTGCCCAAGATCCCGAGAGGAGAATGGAGGAGAAGAAATTGTGGCGTGGCCATCCCCCCCAGCCCCCGGCGAGCACATATACCCTGTAGCAAAAAGCTCTCAAAAGAAAAAAAAATCTTATTCACTTATTCACTCCAAAATTTACAGGCTTACCATTGAACATTTATTATTTTCATCTCCTGAAAAAGCTTATCATTTATAACATAATTTGACTCTAAATTTGCAGCATATATTTTTTAATGGTTTAAAGTGCTACATTTGTTAAATTTTATGTATACATATGTATACATATTCCTAGATTTAGATTCGAGTTGTTAAGTAAGTTAATTGGACCTTAAATATCCAAGAAGATTTATTCAATGGTGATATTTATAACCTGTATTAACCCTTTCCAAAATATGTATTTCCTACTGATTACTGAGAATAAATACATGCTGAAAGAGTGCAATTTCAGTCTTCCTCTTTTTTTTCTTCTTTTTTTTTTTTAAATTCACCAGAAAGAGAGAGAGAGAGAAAGAGCAAAAACCACAAGGTCTAAGACTCAAACTGTGGTTGGCCACGTAGGAGTCCAGCGCCTCTACCACCACACCACTGGCTGGCCCATCTTCTTCTTTCTTATAATTGGTAAATATATGAATAAATGCTAACCTATCATCTATTGACTTGAAATATTTACAACATCCTTTACTTTTTATTTTTTTTAATTTGACAAAGAACAGATGTAACATAAACTAGCTCAAACTTATGCCATTCTCTCAAATCAGTTTATATCACTGTTTATAACACTGTTTGCAGAATCGGCTTTCCCAAGAAAATTTACTATTGTTACACACGTTGCTAGCAATATAGGTGAGTGTAAGAAAACCTTTGTCCTACAAGGGCTCAGGTATGTACTGAGATAAATAATAATGAATGCACTGCAACTCGAAGGCTTTAAAATATTTCACTGTGGCATCAGAGGGCAGGGAAGTGGTTAAAGCGGTGGACTCCCCTTGGGCCAGTAGATTGTATAGTGGTTACATTGCTGAACTCACACATGGCGGACCACGGTGCAAGTCCTGAACCCGGTGACTTGAAAATCAGACCGGGCATGTGTGCATGCATGCCCAAGATGAGAAGAGGAGGAATTGTGGCACGACCATCTTCCCTGGGGAGAGTGATTGCTCGCATTCTGTCTCAGTGTCTTTCTCTCACTCTCCTCTCTCACTCTCCTCTCTCTCTCTCTTTCTCTCTCTCTCTCTCTTTGGCGGCTTGAAAATCAAGCCAGGTATACATGTGTGTGTGCCCAAAATTCAGGGAGTAGAAGGGCTTGTAGCATGGCCATTCTTCCCCCTGGGAGGTCACTTCTCACTTTTTCTCTCTGTCTCTATCCAGCAAGTGCAAGTGCTCTTTGGCAAAACCCTTTAAAAACATTGCCATGTGAAGTGCAGGTGTGAAGATGTTATTTAGCACAACCTGTCTACTCGATTTATTACTATTCTGAGATGGATGTCCCTAGTCTCACTTGCTTTGGATGTATTTTGCCTTTGCTGAGATTCATACACCTTAGATTCTTTTACGAGGAGCCTAAGTCTGTGGACAACCTTGCAGGAAGCTTTCTCAGTTATCCTGAAACTGGATCAATTGCAGATCCAGATGGTAGCTCATCCCAAGTTCAGCTACATGCGGCTCAGTGACCAATACTCAGACAAGTGTTGGTGGACAGGGAGGAAAGTTAGCTTTATTTAGGAAAAAAGTCACCTGAGAAGATGATGGATTAATATTCAAAATGGCCCTCTTCTCTTCTTGGACTAACAGGATTTGTGAAGGGGAAGTCAGAGGAGGGCCTACGTGTGGTTTTGCTCAGTAGATCAGTTCATCGTTGCCTTGACTGGGTAACATCCCGCACATCGCTTTCAGCTGCACCCAGGT